TCACCAAAAACCCCGAGTAGCCAAAGCTCTTCTGAAAAAAAAAGAAGGGAACGGAGGCATCACATGCTCAGACTTCAAACTATACTACAAAGCCATAATCATCAAAACTGCATGGTATTGGAACAGAACAGACACACAGACCAATGGAATCGAATAGAAAATCCAGAAATAAACCCACAGATTTATGGTCAACTACTATTTGACAAATGAGCAAAGAATATGCGCTGGAGCAAAGAAAGTTTGTTCAATAAATGGTGCTGGGAAAACTGGGTTGCTACATGCAAAAGAATGAAGCTTGACCACTACCTCACACCATGCATAAAAACCAAAGAAACTTCTCTGAAGAGGAAATGCAAATGGCCAACAGGCATATGAAAAAATGTTCAACATCACTTGTAATCAGGGAAATGCAAATCAAAACTACCATGAGATACCATCTTACACCAGTGAGAATGGCACATATTAAAAAAACTAGCAACAACAAATGTTGGCGAGGGTGTGGAGAAAAAGGAACTCTTGTGCACTGCTGGTGGGAGTGCAAACTGGTCCAACCACTATGGAGAGCTGTGTGGAGATTTCTGGACCTACTAAACATAGAGCTTCCATATGATCCAGCAATTCCACTCCTAGGTATTTACCCAAAGGACACAGAAACATCAATTCCAAAGAGCACCTGCACGCCTATGTTTATAGCAGCACTATTTACAATAGCTAAGCTTTGGAAACAGCCCAAATGCCCAAAAATAGATGACTGGATCAAGAAGATGTGGTACATATACACCATGGATTATTACTCAGCATTCAAAAAAGATAAACACATGCAATTTGCAGCAACATGGATGGCGCTGGAAGGGATCATGCTCAGTGAAATAAGCCAGAAAGAAAAAGAAAAATACCGGATGGTCTCATTCATAGCAGGAATCTAGAAAACTTAAATAAGGGACCAGGAAAATGAATAACTATAAGAAAGTGAAAATCAAAATCAACCAAAAACTATGAACCAGAGACACTTTTTGGGGGGTGGGGGGCGGAGGGGAGGGATTGGGGTCAGAATGGGGGGTTGTAATTGTATGGGGAATATAAAAATAAAATTCATTATTTTAAAAAAAATAAAATAAACAAAACAAAACAAACAAACAAAAAAAAAACCAAAAAAAAAAAAAAGGATTAAAGAACTAGACATAAGACCTGAAACCATAAAATACATAGAAGGAAATATAGGCAAAACACTACATGACATGCACCTCAAAGACATCTTTACAGACACATCACCCAAAGCAGTGATAGTGAAGGCAAAGATAAACAGCTGGGACTACATCAGATTAAAGAGCTCTGCACAGCAAAAGAGACAATAACTGAAACAAAAAGAAATCCCACCGACTGGGAGAACATTTTTGCACACAACACTAATGAGAAAGGACTGATCACAAAAATCTACAAAGAGCTGATGAAACTCAACAAAAACAAAGAAAATAATCCAGTCAAAAAATGGGCAGAAGAGCTAAATAGAAACTTCTCTGAAGCTATCTGCAGCCACAGCAGCACAGGTTCAATTCCTGGCCAGGGAGCTATCCACGTGGCAAAAAACAAAACAATGAGATACCATCTTACACCAGTGAGAATGGCACATATTAAAAAAACTAGCAACAACAAATGTTGGCGAGGGTGTGGCGAAAAAGGAACTCTCCTGCACGCTGGTGGAAGTGCAAACTGGTCCAACCACTATGGAGAGCTGTGTGGAGATTTCTTAACCTACTAAACATAGAGCTTCCATATGATCCAGCAATTCCACTCCTAGGTATTTATCCAAAGGACACAGAAACAGTAATTCCAAAGGGTACCTGCACACCTATGTTTATAGCAGCACTGTTTACAATAGCTAAGCTTTGGAAACAACCCAAATGCCCAAAAATAGATGACTGGATCAAGAAGATGTGGTACATATACACCATGGAATATTACTCAGCATTCAAAAAAAGATAAACACATGCAGTTTGCAGCAGCATGGATGGAGCTAGAAGGGATCATGCTCAGTGAAAAAAGTCAGAAAGAAAAAGAAAAATACCGGATGGTCTCACTCATAGCAGGAATTTAGAAAACCTAAATAAGAGACCAGGAAAAAGACTAATCAATACAAAGTGAAAATCAAAATCAACAAGCAACTATAAACCAGACACACTATGGGGGGTGGGAAGGGAGGGAGGGGGAGAGGAAGGACTAGAGTCAAAATAAGTGGGGGGTGCAATTGTATGGGGAATATAACCATAGTGAAAATGCATACATTGTGCAAGATGAAAAATGATGTAAGAATTATGTAAAATAAAATAGTTTTTAAAAAAGAACATATTTCAGCCCTTATCTCCCACGCTTGACCTGTTGGAGGCATTCAGCACAATTGTTCAAATCCTTCTCGAAATTCTCTGGTTTCATTTCACAGCAGTGGGAGTCATGGGCTGTGTGTGCTTGTGTCATGTGCAAGTTTGATGGTGGCCTCCTGTCACTCTTTCAGGGAAAATCTACTGTGATTTCATCTTCTTCTTCAGTATAATGGGATTTTGAAAGGAAGAACACATCCTTCAAAAAATCCTCACTGCTGGTGTGCTTAGTCTTTAAGATGGTATTTACTATTAAATGGAATCAGAGTGATAGTTAGATGGGACCATGTATTGGTCAGGATGAGTCAACATCAATAAATCATGTCATATTGTCTGAAATATCTTTGCTGCAAGAGTGGTCTAGAAAGGGAAAGAGATTGTCTAGACACCTTTTAGTTCAACGTGAAAAAAGAAATGGGAGAATATGTTTGACAGATATGAACAAGAATAAAAATATTCCTCAAGGTAGAGGGTTAGATGATTCCCAAACTCTTGGGCCCATCTGTACTGTTCGGTTCTCTTGGTACCTTGTTTAAGATGGTTGCTCTGTCTGAGACCTAAAGCTCAGGTGAGCCACTCTCCTCCCAAGACTGCCTGTAACTACACAGGGGTTTCTTTTAACAAACCTGTCCTTTTCAAGTGCAGGTCTCTGCCCACCTGTGTTTATGCAGGCATTTTCTTTTCTCTCTTTTTCTTTAATAAACTTGCCCTTCTGAATATAACTGACTGCCTATGTCTGTGCAAACACCTTCTACTCCTTGGTAAACTTGCCATGTGCTGCTGGAAAGGGAACTCTGCCAAAACTTTTCTCAGAAGTAACCCAAGGAGCCCGTGTGCTGAACCCCAACATCTCATCAAAACCAGATGCTGCCCATGTCTTATCATAGGTATCCTCGACTTAGAGAATAGCATTGTTTATATGATAGCTACTGTATATGGTTTAATCTGACTGACATTTGTTTTTCTTACAATAACCCTATTCATACTACCATTTTAATCCCCCCAAATTAAAAGGTGAGGGAACTGAGCAATGAAGGTATTTGTTCAAAGTGAACACAACTCCTTAGTGGCAGAGCTGGGATTTGAACCCAGGAAGTGGAGCTCCAGAGCAGTGGCCCTTCCAGAGCAGCACTGTCCTGCAGGCTTTCTGTGATAATGAAATGTTCTTGGTGCTCTTGATGGTAGCCACAAAGCCACATGTAGCTACTGAGCACTGGAAATGTAGCTTTTGCAACTGGGACACTGAATTTTAAATTTTACTTATTTTCCATCTAAATGGCCACATGTGACAAGTGGTTATTAAGCTGGACAGCATAGCTCTAAAGTCTCTGCTTAATAACTTCTAAAATAGCATCAGAAACGTGGTGGTCTCTTTCACTGAGGGGACACTGAATGTCAGGGAACTTGGGGGAGTCAGCTAAAATTGAAGCTAGGACGTGGGAAAGCCAGGATGCCAGTTTTTAAGCCACATTCTCTGGGCACCAGAGAAAAGCCCCCCTCCCCCAATTAGCTCTCCTGGCTCTTCATCTCTTTCCAGACAGGATTGGAAAGTGTATCTTTCTTCCTTCATCCTTATCAAAGGGTCTGTTTTTCCTTTCCTCTATTATTAACGTTGTAACAGTAGAACAGCCCTTGTGACAGAACGTCATGCTCTATCTGTGCGGGACGTGGCATGGCCCTGCAGAGTTTATTTTGTCAAATTCAACTGGCTTACCTTGGTAGTAGATGGTTTATACTCATTAACATTCTTTTCTTTTTCTTTTTTTTTTTTTTAAAAGATTTATTTATTTATTTATAGAAGCACTGGGTACAGTAAGAAGCGCGGGAGAGTGAGAGAATTCACCAGAGCCAGAGTGGGAGGCAGAACAGGCAGACTGACAAAGTACACTGCTGAGGGGAGCAGCGGGCGCGGCAGGATAGGTCTGCGCGCCATGTGGGACCCTTGCCGGCGGCTGGGGATCGAACTGAACCCGCGCTGCAGAGGCTGCGGGCAGCTTCACAGTCCAGCGTTCAACCCCTGTGCCACTGGGGAGGCCCTCTTTTTTTTTTCTTTTTATATTCTAGCATTTATCTTTTAAATTTGATTTTTTTTTTAAAGTGGAGCACCATTGTTTTACATGCCTGTTAATATTTTGACAGTATATAATAGAATTTCTCGCCTCAGATGTAGTCACCTTAGCACTCCCACCACCAAAGCATTCTTAAGGGCTTATCCTGAGGGAGTTTTTTGTCTTCTCTTCTGTTTTGCTTATTCTTCTTTCCAGCTTATCCTAATTCTTCCATGTTGGTAACAAAATCTATGTGCATAATTAAAATAGCCTTTGGCTGAAAGTGCTAAAGTTCACTTCATGCTTCACTATTTAATTTGAAATCCCCCTCCCCCAAGCCCCTAAATTCTTCAAATCGGTTCACATTCACTAATGATACTATTATGAAAGAAAAAAAAAAACAAACAACCATTTGTGGTTTGGCAAACTGTCACTTTTTCGGAAGCGCAGTTTTGAATAAAACAACATAAGTTAACCTGTGGTGAGGCCAGTACCATTTACCTAGTAATCTCTCAGTCACTATTAACATTTCATTGATCTGCCTTCCCCTAGTTTCCTTGAGTAACTTAGGACTTACCTGCTAGGAAAACTCACTCTAGCCATTGAGCATGAACTGAGAAGATAGACCCTGTTTAACAAAGAGAAACTGAATTAACATACCAGTGGGCCTAGGCTTAATGCACCAAGCAATCCCTTTTGGTGGCAGCAGAGAACAAATGCTGTTACTTTGTCAGAGGGCAACCTGCCAATCTGATCACAAAATGTGATCACTGTCTTATCTGGAGATGAAAACTTACCCAGCTCCCAGACAGAAGTAGGCAGAGTCTAGTGTTTCCTGGTGGAGAGGAACATGCCAGTATTTCCAGTGACCTGGAAAGTGGGTGTCTATAGGAAACTGACTTCACAAGAGATCTGGGAGGTCTCTTTCAGGACTTTGAAAAAAAAATTAGGGAGAAAGGGCGTCGGTGCTTGGGTGCTTGTCTTCAATGCTCCTCATCCCTCTGTGACTACCCTGAACTTGGAGGATCCCACATGATTGATCTCTGCCAGTACAGCTACCTTGATGGCATTTAAAAATGCGGAACATTGACATAAATGAGCATGCTCATTTCCATAGAGTCATTTAGGAAGGAACAAGTTTACATGTGGTATGAACCAAGGCAGAAAAAGGGATAAGAATGCATTTTATAATTTATCAAGATATGAAATCTAGCATTATACTTTTAAACAGAAGCTCTTCCTGCTCCGAATCAGACCTCCAAGCCACCTCTGACTCTCATCCCTGCTGTCCGCTGATGCCCTGCAGTATAGCAGCTAGAAGGGAGGTTCTCTCCCGCTGATGGATAGCTGGTTCTAGAAGTGATTTGGATCAGTCTTTAACTGGTCCAATAACTTTGTTCTCCCTGAGGCTGGACTTGAACTAGAACTGGTGATTGCCGTAGCTCCCTGAGTAACACCAATGCAGGGGGATGGAGCACAGACCTTCCAGAGATTTGCAGCCCACTAGATTCTTTAGCTTCTAAAACTAAGCTAGTGATTAGCCCACTCCAATGATATTACCATTTAGTTGGTCTGAGGAGAGACCCAGCATCAGTGGGGTGGGAGGGCTCCCCAGGTACTTCTGAGGCACAGACAGAGCTGAGACCAGTTGACTGGAGCAACCAGCACCTCAGGTCATCAGGCTCAATGAGCCAAATAGAGTAGCTCCCATTTGCTGAAGCAGAGGCTTTTGTTTGATGAATATAAAAGTATTTTCCATCTCCTATAAATAAAACAATATATTCATATTATGAATTATTTCAGACAATTTAGAGAACTCTAACAAAGAAAGTCAAAACCACTCATAACCTACTAGAGATAAGAACTACATGTGACTTTCCTCATTGTTTTCTAGAAATATACATACATATATATATATATAAACTGAGACTACTTTATGATTTTTTTTACATAAATATATCAGAGATATCATTCCAGGACACAAAAATGTAGACATACATTGTTTTCAAGAGCTCCAAGAGATGCCTATTTTGTCCATTCCACAAATACTTTAATCTTTTAAGGAAAACTGAAGCTCTTTTCATTATCTTACTTTTATAAACAATGCCACAGTGGCAATATATTTTGTGGAGATTTTAATATAATCCCTTTGCCTAAATCCCTAGAAGCAGATTTACCAAATTAACAGGTATACCTCTTTTATGTTCTGGCCCGGTTCCCAGATTGCCCTCTCAAGATTCTGCAGTCTACACATTCGCTACTCAGTTACTACCTGCCTGTGTCCATTTCTGATCAGTTGTCTTGTCTCTGAAACTTGCAGCTCCCATAAAAGAGAAATTTGCAGCTGGATAGCTTGATGCAAGCCCTGTTACAGTGCTGGTGCTGAGAAGACCAAGACACACAAGCCAGACTTCTTGCCTTCAGGAACTTTTAATTATCACCCAGCATCTTATAAAATGCAGTTTCCGCCTCTGTGAGTCTGAGATGGGGCTTGAGATTCTGTTTCTAAGAGGCTTTCAGAAAATGCCTGCGCTAGCAGCAAGGCTTGTGCCTACCTCTGGGTCCTTCCAACAGCTGTTCCCTCTCCCTGGTTTGCTCATTCCCTAGTCTTTGCCTGTTCAGTTGTTCCCATATTGGACTGCATGTGAGATCCAGCTGGGAAAAACAAAATACAAAAAGCACAACTCCTCAGGTTTTTCTGCCGAAACCATCTCTCTGGGAATGTGGACTAGTATTTTAAACAATATCGAATACTGGTTTCTCTGAGCTACTAGTTACTATCGTCACCCTGACTATCACCTCTGAGCTGTCCCACCACTATTCACTTTATAGTGTCTTCCATGTCTCCCACTACTCCATGTAATAAGTGAGTTAATTGTGTCATTACTCATTTTAGATTCTGAATCTCTTTTAGTCTCTGATTTCTGGGAGTGCAGACAGTGTCTGTCTTGGGCGCTGGAGTGTCCCCAGTGCCAAACCAGACCTCCTGGCAAGTAGGAGCAAATAGAGTGGACATACTTGATGAAATACTTTGTAAATACCTTTACATTCGATGGTCCGTATGTCTGTAGGGCAGGAAGAACCGGCATATAATCCTCATCTTACAAATGGAAAAGGAAAGGTCTAAAGAAAGAAAGTGACTTATTCAGTGATGATGTGGCTTGAGTACAGACTTCAACAATGGCCTCTGAATGCCAGCTAGTCCCTTCTACCTCTCCATGCTGCTCCTCTATAACTTTTATTCTCAGTCCAACCTGAGGAAGTTTGCACAAGTGTCCCCATTGTGACTCTTACTATGATCTCAGAAATTCAAAATGTTCACAGTTATCCCCATCTGACATCCCAGGGAGAGGCACTTGGCTTGAACGGTGACATGAAGATTGCACCCTTGAGAATACACAATGCTTCCCTTGGTCACTTCCACATTTATATTTTTAAAACATGTGCAAGGGAATAAACATACATAGATTAATCAGCAAAAAATTCACCTTTTCCTAACCTCATGTGGAGTTTGAATGAGAGTGAGGACAGGGAAGCCATTTAAGCTCTTTACAAGGAGATCTTTACATTTGCAGGGGCAAGAGGCCTGATGAGTGAAGCTTCATTCTAGGTTAGCCACAGTTTTCCTGTTGTGGAATTTATGTGGAGAAGGAACATGAGGAAGACCTTGGAAATATAATTAAATGATGGTTGTGAATCAGCTTGTGTGTAATGCAGGGTTGACCTGAAAATAGGTCAAAGACCTCCAATCCCATTAGCCTCGCTACCACGTTTTTATAGCACACCTCACATTACAAATGTGATAGGGCACTTGACCTGTATCTATCCAGAAATGAAATTCATTGATAATATAAGCAACCCATACATATCATTAAAAAATCAATATAGTGCATGCAGGATAACAAGAACTAGATGGCTATTAATTTATAATAAAGATGCTCTTCAAACTATAACATTTCTAGCACATTATAATGAAGTACTCAAACTTGCATCCATGCATAGAATCACTGTGATCTCAACAGTCACAAATGATAAAGTTTTGGTGATTCAAATACTATGGATGAGGGCTTGTGGGTGAAGTGAGTTTCTGAAAACTTCCAATTAAACTTAATTCTCTCTTTCCTTGATTTTTACATTAGTAACATTTCTAAAATACTCAGCAATATATGTATATAAAATTGAGGTAGAATAGTATAAAATTCATCCTTTTGAAGGGCTTTTAAAGGTAATTAAAAGGTAATTCCTTTTAAAGGTAATTCAATGGCTTTTAACCTATGCATAGACTATCTAATTTTTTTAAAGGTTCTTTCATTTTTTTTTTTTTTTTAAAAAGATTTATTTATTTATACAAGCACTGGGTACAGTCAGAAGCGCGGGAGGGTGAGAGAATTCACCAGAGCCAGAGCGGGGAGCAGAGCAGGCAGAAGGACCGAAGTACACTGCTGAGGGGAGCAGCGGGCGGCAGGAGAGGTCTGCGCGCCATGTGGGACCCTCCTCCGGTGGCCGGGGTGCAGCCGGGAATTGAACCAGCACTGCAGAGGCTGCAGGCAGCTTCGCAACCCAGCGCTCAACCGCTGCGCCAGCGGGGAGGCCCAGATTATCTGATTTTATCACCCCAAAAGAAACCTATACCCATGAGCATTTACTCCCCATCGCTCCTTCCTCCAACTCCTAGAAATTACTAGTTTACTTTCTGTCTCTGAATTTGTTTATGTTGGAAATTTCATGTAAATGTAATAATACAATATGTGGCCTTTTCTGTCTGGCTTCTTTTACTTACAATGTTTCCGAAGATCATCCATTTTGTCTTTAGTGTTAGTACTGTATTTCTTTTATGGTTAAATAATAACCTATTGTATTGTAGGGATACACCACATTTTGTTTATGCAATCATTAATACCACTTGCGTTGTTTACACTTTTTGATTATTACAAAGAATATTGCTATGAATATTTGTGCCTAAATTTTTGTATGGATGTATTTTCAGGTCTGTTTGGTGTATCCTAGGAGTAGTTGTGCTGGGTCAGATGACAACTCTGTTTAACATTTGAGGAGCTGTCAGACTGTGTTCCAAGGCACAGAAGCATTTTCATTCCCACAGGATTGTATGAAGTTTCTAATTTCTTCACCTCTTCATCAACACTTGATATTGTTGATCTATTTTACTATAATCATCCTACTAAGTATGAAGTGATATCTCATTGTGATTTTGATTTGTATTTCCATAATAGCTAATTAGCCAATTTTCATGTGCTTATTGGCCATATGTAGACCTCCCTTAGAGAAATATCTATTCAAATACTATTCCCATTAAAAGGATTTTTTTAAATTTTTTTATTGGTGAGTCATAAGTGCTTTATATATCCTGGATACTAGACTCTATCGGGTGTACAATTTGCAAATAATTTCTCCTATTTCATGAGTTGTCTTTTCACTTTCTTGATGGTATCATTTGCAATGTGAATGTTTTTGGTTTTAATGTACTCTAACTTACTGTCTTTCTCTTATTGTTAATGTTTTTGGCGTTATATGTAAGAAACCATTGCCTAATCTAAGGTGACAAAGATTTATGTTTATGTTTTCTAACAGCCTTGTAATTGTTAATGCTTACATTTAGGTCTCTAAATTTATTTGTGCCTATGGTCTGAGAGAGATAAGAGTTCAACTTCATTCTTTTGTTTGTGGGTATCCCGATGCCCCATACCGTTTGTTGAAAATATTATTCTTGTCCATTGAATTGTCTTGGCAGATTTGTCAAAATCAATTGCCCAACAATAGAAGTTTATTTCTGATTCTCAATTCTATTCCATTAGTTCCCATGTCTATCATTATAGAACATACAAAGTTTATGCACAGTATTTACATGTGGTAAATTACATGGGTGTGGACAATTATCACCAGGGTTTTCACCTACATGATTGTGTACTAGAACATTTGAAAGTCATGTGGGAGGCAAGGGAGTACTACCTCCTGTGGGCTTTTGTTGCTCATTGCAGTACCTTTAGCATTATTAGCCCCTGAATGCCAGTGTATCAAAATGTGTCATGAATTTCTAGAACACTTCTCAGGAGGCAATGCTCTATGGAGAATCACTTCTCTAAGTTACATTCTGCACTTTATTTCCTTCTTTGCCTTCTCCAGCCCATCTCCCACATTACTAAAATATGAGCTTTCAGGCTATTCCTTGCTTGAAAACCTTTAGTGGCTCCTTAAGCCATGTGAGATGAAGTTTAAGCTTTTTCAATGTGATCTATCAGCTCAGTCACCCTCTAAATCCTTGTCCTGCACACCTCCTGACTGCAGGACCAAGGAACTTTGGGAGAATTCCTTTCTAGCAATGATCATTCTGAAATGCATGGGCTGTATCCTTCTGTCGCTGGCTGTGGGGGCCTTCCCTGGTACATCTTGGTGTTCTTTGTTCCACCTCAGTGCCAACTGCACTACCAGTGAGTTTGGGTTGAAAGAATGAATCTTTAGTATTTACATTAAGTTTTTACCCACCAGCATATGGCTCTAGTTCTCTGGAGACATTGATTAGCCTCGTAGTTCATAAAGCTTTATTACCATTTATTCATATAATACATGTGCTTTTATTTGAGAAGATATTGATAGATAGGGAATTGCATGTCTAATTCCAATAAACAGGGGAAGGAATCTCCCAGTTCAAAGCATCAATAACATCACTACAATCATCAAGAACAACAACAGAAAATTTTCCTCATACTCGACATTTTCTAATAGGGCAAAGTTTTTTTGTTCCATAAGGAAAGAAGTAGTTAAAAATTCAAATAGCCCCTGAGAGACATTCAAGGACAGTGGAAATGCCTGATGGAAGATAAGCGTCTCTGTGGAGAGATGAGGAGGCCCCAGGGACTTAAATGGAGCCATAGCTGAGGAGTCTCTAAAAAGAGAATAGGCTGAGAGAATACATTTCTCTAAAGTGGCACCTAATGCGTTTATGTGACTTGTTTACAAACATTGGTGCTGGAGTCAGCCTAGGACACTAGGCCTCCCACTCCCTCCCCACTGCAACCTGACACCCAAGCCACTGATTAAAAAAAATATTTTTTGCATGATTTGACATTTTAAATTTACTTTTTTGCTGCTTCCAAAATGAATAATCTTAAGAAATATGGCAAAGTAAAAAGAAACACTCTGAGAAAAATGAGGTGGTTTCTGGAGGGGACATGAAAGGGGTTGTGAGAAAGGGGTACCAGGGGTCAAATTAACAGTGGTGATTCCAGGACTTTGTTGTGGGACACACATCACACATATATTGAGCTGTGCAGCTGCAGTCCTAAAACTTACAGAGCATTGTAAACCAATGGTAAACAAATGAAAAAAATAAAATTCAGCGACCTGAAAAAAAAGAAGGAAAAGAGAAAAGATGAAACGGTGTCCATCATCATGAATTCAACCGCCTACAGGTGGCACTGTGAATATTCTGGAGTATAAACTTCTAGCTACTAGTATTTTTAACCCCTCCTCAGTCCTTGGGGAAAAACTGTTCATTTCAGAGCTAAGAAAGAAAAAAAATGGCAAAAGCAAGACCAGGGGAGAACAAGAAATGTTGAGGACTTTGCCAGCTCTTCTCTGTCTGGGGGCTGTTTCTGGTGAGGAGTGATTAGAGTATTGATTCTATTACGTCCTGCACTGCACAGCCATGACAGTCCATAATGTGATTCAGAAAGACCAAAACGAGATTAACCGTGAGTCAGATGGCAGCTCCTGGCTTTTTAAGATGAAGAGAAATGGTTTTTGGTGGGGGTTTATCAATGCAACCTTTTCTCCTCTGTCTGTGTTTCATTTATTCAGTATAAAATCCAAAGGGCCGCCTTGAAACAACCGTAATTGATGTTCAGCACTTTCTTCTCCTGACTGAGGATTTTTCCTTCAGCCCCTCAATTTTCTAGCACTGGACTGTGCAGTCTCTGGTTTGGTTCTCCCCTTTTTCTTTGCTTTTTAAAATTTATTTATTTTGCTTATAATTTGAAAGGAAACTTGCACTCCCCTGTTTGTTGCAGTGCTATTTACTATAGCTGAACTATGGGAACAACCTAAGTGCCCCCAAACAGATGAGTGGATCAAGAATATGTGGTGTATATACATAATGGAATACTACTCGGCAATGAAAAAGATAGACTCATGCCATTTGCAGCAACGTGGATGGAATTGGAAGGGATCTTGCTAAGCAAAATAAGTCAGAAGGGAAAAGGTAAGTGCTGGATGGTGTCACTAATATGAGGGATAGAAAGTA